GACACCCTCCTCCTGCCCCGACTGCCCCCGGGAAGCCCGCCTCCCGCCAGCCGGGTTGGGTGGGCAGCGAGGGGAACGTGGCAGCCGGGGCAGGGGTGACCAAGTGTCTTCGTGGGACAGAGAAAAAGCTGCGCGAGCCCCAGAGCAAGGGCGTGGTCATCGTGGCCGTGACCGTGAGCCTGCTGGTCCTGGCGCTGCTGGGCGCCGTCCTCTGCTTCTTCTACAAGAAGGGCAGGCTGCCCTGTGGGCGGTCGGGCAAACAGGAGATGTGAGCACGTCCCAGCCCCCGCCCCCCATCGCCTGCCGCCCAGCTCGCCGCTTCCCGGGGTGCCCCCTGCTGGCCTGTGTCGCTCACCCCTGGGAGCAGGAGGGGACGCTGGGTCTGGGTGCTAGTCGCTTCACGGCCACGGCCACGCTCCATCCATCACGCTCTCCCTTCCCTTCATGACCTGCCTCCCTCCCCTACGAAGCCCCAGAGCACCAAGTCCCACGGTTGTCCCCGGAGAGAAGCCCTTCCCCAGAGCCCCGCCCTTCCCTCGCCCCCTGAGTTGCCAACCTCTCGCCTCCCTTCCTCCCCCCAGAACGCTGCCCCCATCTCATAAAAGCACATTTGTAGTTGAAGTTAAGTCAGATAAGCTCCCCGAAGAGATGGGCCTCCTACAGGGCAGCCGCGCTGACCAGAGGGCGCCTGGAGACCAGGTAGGAGCGGCCGCTGCAGGCGGTCCTCGTCCCCGCACTAACTCTGTCCTCGTCCTTCTGCCGGAGACCGGAGCAGGCCGGTCTCGCCTCCTAACACTACTCACAGGTGGTAGGGCCAGGCCAGTGGCTGAGGGACCTGAACAGGGTGGCTCCGGCTCTGAGAGCAAAGACCCCTCCCATTGCCGTCACCGTTTCCAAAAGTGCTTGTGGCTCAGGCTGAGCGGTGTGACCTGCGTGGGGCCCACCTGACCTGGGGGCTGAGACCCTCCTGCCCGCCCTGCTGCACCACCGGGCTCCTCAGCTGCTGCTTTGGTGCCTCCTCCCTGCTGGTGCTCACCCCCGGCCCGTCACCGTCTCCACACTCTCCTCTCCTTCCCCTTTGCAGGGGGAGAAATACATCGATCTGAGGCACTAGCGCGGAGGTGGACCCCTTCCTGCCCACGCGCCCTGCTCGCCCGGGGCCCCAGCACTCAGGATACTCAGGATGGTCACCACAGCCTGCCCCCCGCCCCTCCGCCCCCGTTTTGCAGGGCCAGTGGGCTGGCTGGGACCAGGGCGCAGGGCCCTGGAGGCCCCTCCTCAGGACCACACTATCCACGTGTGGAGTGGCGCTCACCCCAGGCGGCCTCGGTCCAGGAGAGGGGCGAGTTCTGCCGGAACATCTCTGCTCAGTTATGGACTAAGGCCCCGCCTTCTACCCACAGCATGGAGTCAGGGGCCTGTTTGTCTCAGGGGACTTCCTGCCCCAGTTGCCTTCCCAGTTCTGCTGTGTGGCTGCAGGGAGGGGCCGAGTCAGGCCCTGGAAGCAGTTGCCCGCCTGCTGGGGTCCCTTTTGTGACCCCCTTCCCTGGGTGGAGCCAGGAGCTGGTGCCATCCCTTCAGATGGGCGCTCCTTGTCCCAGCAGTGAGGGAGCCGCTGCTTCCTAGTCAGGCCTGAGCTGCTCACTCGGCTCCGGGATCACGACTGAAGGGTGAGAGCGGGGGACAGAGAGGGGGGCCCTGCGGCCCTTTAAGGGGATTAAGATTTCAGGGGCCCTAGCACCAAACTCCTATGAGCTGAGCTGATGGCCTCGACCCCTTTAGGAAGGGCCCTAAAGGGAGGCTGGGAAATGGGCCAGAGCTTGGGATATAATGTGTATGTGTGTGTGTGTGGTTTTGTTAGGTTGTGTGTAAATTTGCAAATCGTTTCCTTTATACACACACACACACACACACACACACACACAAATAAAGCTTAGTTGTCCGGGAAACCTTACGTGTTTCATTCACCGCGGGAACCACAGTGCCTGGGCTCCAAATGGACCGGCACCAGGAGGAACGTGCCCCAAGGCCGGCAGCAGGCAGGCGGCTCCAGCCCCTGGGGTGACCCCTGCTCAGGGACAGGGCTGAGAGCCTGTGGGCCCGTGGCCTTGCCGGGAGGGGCGGCACAGACCTGGGAGGCACATGGGCTCAGCTCCCCCACGTGTCAACCCTCCATCCCCACCAAAGACAGCACTCAGGTCAACTACAACAAAAGAAACTTTATTTAAAAATACTTTACAGACGTGGGTGCTTGAAAAAGCTCTTTAGTTAACTGTATATAAATGAAAAAATTAATAAATAACATTAGTATAACAGACCTGAACATGAACACACTGGCAAAACAAATGGACTTAAAATAGAAACAAATCTTAAAGCTCTGCTATTCTGTAGGAATATTTACCTTCTGTTTTTCTTATTCTTTACAAGTGAGGATTAAATACTACGAATATAAAGTTTCTTATATTAATGACGCTTTTAAAATAGCCAACACAGATCTTGCCGACGCTGTCGGTTTAACCCCGCTGATGCAGAGCCCGCTCTCCCTCCTGGAGCTCAGCGCCCGGCCCCACCCAGGCCGGGGAGGCTCAGTCACAAATGAGGAGCCTGGAGCTGCTTCCACCTCCACCTTCTTTGGAGTGAAAGGCAGGAAGCACCGAGGAGGGGAGAGAACATTTCTTCCCTCCCCCTGAAACCTAGCGGTCACAGCTCTGCTGCCTCTTCCAGGGGAAGCTGGTCCCCAGAGAGGCACTCGCTGCTCCTGCTCTGAGTCTGAGGGCTCCGACGGGGGTGGGGGCGTGAGGGGGGCAGGAGGTCGAGGCAGGTCAGGATCCACCAAAGGTTAAGAGAAGCCACCCTCCAGGAGAGGCCTGACCCGGCTGCCTCTGCCCGGAGCACATGCAGGCTGAGCTGATGGAACCAGCCTCCCGCCCACGGTGCGGCGGGAGAGGGACCCGGCGCCCTGCCCTGCCCTCCCCGGGACTGTGGGGCTGGGACACTCAGCAGAACAAAGACGCTGCTATGTCCATATTAAGCTCTAAAATGCAGCCTAGGATACAGCGCTGCCTTAGAAAGGCACAAAATGTTTAGCTTTTTTTTTTTCAGTGTGCTAAAAATTGCTTTGTTTTAAATAAAGGAAAAGATATATAAGGTTAAAAACCCTAAATCACCCAGCCAGGAAGCAGGCGTAGGAGGTACTTCATAGTTGCCATGGCCCAGCCACATGCTCAGCAGGTCACGGCCAAGACACTAAACGATGCTGAGAGCAGGTGTGTGTGGGGGGTGGGGGGTGGGGGGGGAACCCCTCGGGCCTTTCACCGGCAAAGGAGGCCCCGGCAGAGGCATGGGGGCTGCTAACCCACAAGCAGCTCTGCCTCTTCAGCTTCCAGAGGTGAGGGTGGCTCCCCTCTAATCACCACGGGGTCAGAGGTGAGGAGCGGCCCACAGCGGGTGCTGAGCAGCCTCCGGCCCCCCAGCTGGTTCGGGCAGGAGGGCTGCCAGCGGCAGTGTGGAGGCGCCTCTCATGGTGACTGTTGGTTCTGAATCAACAATCAGGCCGGGCAATCAGACTCTGCCGATCTGTTCAGCTGCTGAGCCGGCAGATGTGAGGATGGAGAGACCAACAGGCAGAGGGGGAACGTCTGTCTCAGGCACCGGACAAGGGCAGCCTTCCACCTGACCGAGCCCCATGCAGCACCGCACACCCCACTCCCACCTTACTCCTGTGCTGTCGCCCGGAACCAGGACACATGCAGTCACCCCAGTGAAACCGCCTTCCTGGGCCGGTGAGGGCGCTGCCCCCTCCCAGGCTGGAGCTCAGGGGAGGCCTGGCAGCCTGCCCTCCCGGGGCCTCAGAGCTCATCTTGGGCCATTAGGTTCCTTTTGCAGACACCTAGCGGCTCCAATCGTTTGCATGGTGTGACTGGGAAAGGCTAAGACACAGGACAGGCTCTAGGACGAGAGGAATAAGGTCAAAGACTCAGGCAAGTGCAAGCAGCTTGTGAAACCGACCACGTGAGGGCTCCCATCAGCCTCTGCTGCAGCAGCTGGTGGACGGCGGGTGGGCCCTGTGGAGCTCCCGGTGCCTCAGTCCTCCCTGGACTCTGATGTAACCACCTGACAGCTCCCAGGGGCCGGCACGTTCGTTCTCAAGCGGCTGCAGAGGGTTTCGGAGGCCTGGGAGGCCCAGCCCACCGCATTCCCCAGGAGAGACCCTGAGGGCAAGGAGGAGGGTGGCAGGGACACGGCTGCAGGACGAACCCATTTCAGTGCTGAGCCCGGAAGCCCAGGGTGACCGCAGCGAGATCTGACACACACTCTAAACAACGTGAAGGAGGCTAAGCATCCTGAGACTGCGCCAGACAGACCAGCTCCGAGACAGGAGGAACGCGTCCTAACGAGGGAGGCCAGAAACCACAAAGGGAAGGAAAACAGAAAATGGACAGACAGCAACCTGCATCCGTTAACCTGGGAACCTCCTGCGGCCCAGGCACAGCCCACAGGGCCTCCTCTCTGGGAAGCAGTGAGAGCAGCTCTCCCCACGGGATTCTCAACACCTGAGCACCTGCACCCCTCGGGGAACTCCCCGTCCCCAGGGAGCGCTGCTGCCGGGTGGCGAGGCGGACGGGCTTGGGTAGACACCCATCAAGATGCTGGGAGCATTTTCTTTCTTGAGACTATGAACCGAGAGGCGCTGGAACCTGTCCACGAGGCTCTCGGGCTGGGAGGCCACGTGGGCGGAGCACGGAGCGTCTATGGGGCCCATCACCCAATAAGCAGACTGCCAGGCGGGACAAAGGCCGAGGTGCACGCGGCCCAGCTCCAGCTGCAGGCAGGGGTCAGCTGGACTCCTCCCCTGGCTCTGGGAAGCACCCCGCATCCTTGAACTCCCTCCTGCCTTCACCCTGACTCCTGTGATTCCCAAGCAGGATCGTCAGAGATGCACCCTTGACCTTCCTCCACGGTGCACACCCCCCTTCCGCCCGACATGTGTGGTTCTAAAGACCCCGCTCCTGTGCACAGAGGCCAGGGCTGACCCAGAGCGCCCAGGGGAAGGCCCGGAGGAGGAAGCCCTGATGGTGGTGCTAAGTTCCAGGACCCTGAGCGCTCGGCTCCCTCCCGCTCAGCTCCCTCCCTCTCGAGACACAGGCTGACACCTTTGAGAACTGAGTTCAGTCCATTCCCCTGTGGCTCCAGGGAGACCACACACCTCACAGGTCAGGACCCAGAGACACACCTCCCCTCCCATGTCTCGGTCTGCTAGGGGTAGTTAGCTGCAAAGGCTGTGAGGGATTAACAACAAGTTCCAAATAGAATGGGAGATGGTGACAGGGCCAAGAAGGCTGACAAGGAAACTTCCCCACGAGGAGGCTGGGCCGCAGGCAGGCAGGCCCGGGGCTGGAAAGGGAGCGGCAGGCGCGCTGCACACTCTGCCTATCGAGCCAACACACCTCAACCCACCAGGCTCCGCCTCAATGACGCTCAGAGGGGGGATCCATGACTTCCACTGGGGACCCTCCCAGACAGGACCATGGCTCGGAAGACAATGGGGAGCAATGGAGAGTCCTGAACGGTCTGAGCCAGGGCACTGGCGGGGTACACAAAGGGCCGTGAATGCACACCGCTCCGCGTCCTGGGAAGGGCTATTTTAGGGCCAAATGCAAGCGGCGAGGAGCCCAAGGACCACCCCCGTCAGTGCCTCACCACACGGCGGCAGGAGGACACAGGCTGACACCTGGCATGGCGTCACTCACAGCTGCTGAGTGGACACGTGAGCAGCCCGGGCACTGGTTGGAAAGTATCCCTGGGCAACAAGGGGAAAGCCTGGAACCCCGGCTGTCCACATGTGAGGTAGGAGGCTGCACACCCAGCGCTCTCCCCCACACGGAGGGGCACCGAGTGCCTACGTGAGCCTCGTCAAGAGAATAGAACACAGCAGGAGGGAGAGAGGTCCCAGGGAGAGGGACGTCTTCAGAGCTCTGGTCGCAGGGAAAGGAAGCGCTTGGTGACCGTGTACGGTGCTGGCTGCTCACCGGTTCATGAGCTGACTGGAATCAATTCACTGGGAAGGAAAACTGAACAAATAGATCCCAACGGTCTGTTTTGTGCATTTTATGGACAACAACCGGCCATGGGGCATACAAAACACCTCAAATTTATTATGATAGAATGTTATAATGTCAATGACACCTCAGTAAAAAGGAAGGGAAGGCCTAGATCTTGTTAACAGTGCCGTGAAGGGAACATACAGCTGGGTCCCTACTTTGCAAGCAAATTTACAAAAATTCATTTGTAAGTTTGCTGTTTGGACCATAAAATATCTCACTTTTCTATAGAAGAAATAAATACTTCAAGTATGAAGAATAGCACGCCCCCCCAAAATGTTTTTATCCACAAAACAGACAACGCACCTGGCCCTGTGCTGAAAGTCTGTGCAAGGAGACAGGGAAGCAGGGCCGGGGGAGAGG